AGGCGGGGCTCGCCCGGCTGGCCGTGGGGCGCCGGCTGCTGGACGGGTACATCGAGTGGCTGCAGGAGAACCTCTGAGCCGGGAACGCGGGAGGCTGGGGGGAAGGTGGCATTGCTGCTCTGCTGTCCTCTGCTGCCCGGGCCTTTCTCATCTGCTGGGGCAGGAAAATCGGTCTGATTCTAACCCAGATGTTCTTCCAGTGCTGTCAGAGCCCCTGGGCTGCCCTAGGGGTTCTCTGCTGCCCAGGTCAGAGGTTGGTGTGCCCAGCCCTGCCTGGCTCGCCTGGCCCTGCTGCCAAGGCCGGCAGGACTCGCCCTCTTGACTCGGTTGCTTCTCGTCCCCTCCTGTTGCAATGTCCCAGCCTCAGTCTGTGCAAACGGGCCCTGCTGGCCCTGCCCCTGGGCAGCCTCCTGCTCCCTGTGCTTGTCCCGCAGGACACAGAATGAGGCCCAGCAGCTGGTGGGGCAATGGGCTGAGCAGGGACCTGGCAGCTCTGTGCTGCTGCCCCCCTCCAGCACAGCCCAAGGGAAGCACCTGAAGACCACACAGGACAGCTGGAACACGGCACAAATGCTCTTCTGTTGTTGGTTTGCTTTCTGGTTTTTGCCTTCTTAAAAAGCCTCTGTCTTGCTCAGCATTTACTTTCTTCAATCCCTGTACTGGAAGGACATGGTGCAGCACAACAGCACTGGGTACTCATGAAGATCCCGGCCTTACAATAGCACTGCTGGATGGTTTGTGCTCTACTTGTTAAATAAGCTATGTCTCGTGTTCTAATTATCCTTATAATTGTTCAGCAGTTTTTACATATGAATTTTTAAAATTAGCTTAGCAGCTTTGTAGGCTTGAAAAAGAAACCCCCCTTAGCTGTCAGCCCTGAGTAACTGCCCTCTGTGAATGGTTGTTATGTATAAACCTGAAACATTGCTGAGTGGTGCATGCCTGCTGGGTGCCTGTTGGCTTTACACTCATCACAACACACCACAGGCAGGTCCTTCTGGCATCCTGGATTGCATAAAAGATACTGAACCTTCAATTCTGGTTGGGGTTTTGTTTTGTTGGCTTTTTTTTTCCCCTGCGTGTGCAGCTCTACGCCGAATGCATATGGCATGGTTGCTGTTTTCCTTTTTCGACTTGACTAGAGTGGATATAACCCCCCTGCCTTCGGTTCCTACGCGATGTGACTTCTCCCTGCAGATCCGCGCACCGGGAAGCGGAACCGGCGGCAGCGGCGGCTGCTTCGGACCCCGGGGAACCGGCCCAGGAGCCGCCGCGCTGCTCCTGCCTTCCCGCTGCTGGGAATGCTCAGCAAGGCTGGGCTTCGGTCGCTGCCGTGGGAAACAGAAGCGGCTGATCAGTGTCCTTGAACCAGAGGAGGCTCTTGCCCGTGGTGCTGGGCTCCAGCCCGCACCAGGCAGCTCTGCGGGAGCCTCCCTGGGAACTGGGCTTGGGGTTTTGCCTCAGTAGCACCTCTGGGCTGACTTCTTGTAGGCATATGGTCAGAAGAATTTTCCCCGGGCTGGGTATTTCCAAGGTTGTAAATGCCAGCAGGATGAACTGAGCTGCTTGTTAGTCCCTCTTAGGGATCCCCTTTGGGGCTCACAGGCTGCTTTAGCCTTGCTCCAAAATCCACAGCAGAAGACTTGCTGGAGAGAACGTTTGGAGGGGACAGAGATTGTTTGTGTCAGAGGGGGACATGCACAAAGCCTGGATCCAAAAGCAGGCATCCATATACACATACACCTGGAAGGCAGTAGAAAAATTCATGCTCTAGGCAAAGGCTCTTCCTAGCCTGTTCTGTGTGCTCCTGTGGGACTCTGCTTGGAACAGCAAGTAAATGTCTTCTAACCACTAGGACCTGAACATGAATTATGGATTGGGCCGTACATGCTTTTGATTTAGTTACTAAAATAAATTTTCTTGAGTTGGAAGTGCTTGGTGAGGCACAAAATGAGACAGGGAAAATTACATCATCAGTGTTTCTGGCAGGATCAACAGAAGCTGTGGTGAACAACTCCTTTACCAGGAAATGGTAAAAAACACCCTAAAAAGGCTCCATTTAAGGGTTAACCCCTAAAGCTGTTTTGTTTCAGGTTTTCATACTAAGGTTGTCCAGGAGGCCCTAGCTAAGGGTTCCCCAGCAGAAGACAGCCCATCTCCACCCTTTGCCACCAGCCTGGAGAACCTGGAGCTGCCTGGGATGGCCCCTGTGACACCCAGCACGGGGCAGGGCACCTGCCTGGCAGCAGCAGAAGCTGCTGCAGAGGGACCCTTTCACTGGGGTGTTCCTTATCCATAAGCCTGCAGGAAAACAAGGTAATCACAGCTGCCAGCTCCCAGGGCTGAGAGCTTTGCTGTATCTCCAGCCTCAACGCCATTCAAGTTGAGAAACCTGTGCTCAAACAAAACAGGGCTGTGCAGGGTTTGGTGCAGGTCCCGGTGCCCACAGGAGTCACTGCACCCCAGGAGGGCCGGGCAGGTGGGGCAGGGGGTTCGTGTCTCTGTCGCCCTCTTACCACTTGTGTGAAGCTTTGCTGCAGCGTAGAGGGAGAAAGGCTCCGTTTATTCAGACTCTACCCTCCAGTGAACAAAATCTTTAAAACCTGGCAAATGAGGAGCCAGTATTTATCGGCCACATGGGAAATTTTAAAGCAGCTTCTGTGATGCTTAAAGATTAGTTGATTTGTTGGCTTTATCTTCAGAGAAAAGCTAGGATACCTTATATATCCCAGATATGAGTAGAGTGGATATTCACTAACCTTAAAGTACATCACAACGAAGGGGAGGGAAGGAGAAAAGGTATTTTTTAGAAGCTGAACCATGTTTATTTTTCCTATTTGAAAATAATCATTATGATATTCAGATGTTCACTGGTGTGTATAATGGCCTTGCATTTACCTCCTCTACTGGGCTTATTCAGCAAGCCCTATTGCACTCAGCTGTCATTTGTATTTTACATTAAAAAGATACAGAAATAAGTGTTTGATATATGGCTTATGTTGCAGCAAATGCCCTTTCCTCCTTCTCTTCCTGGGATGTGGTTGTTGAGAAAAGAGCTTTATTGCTTTCAGGGAGTGATAGAAGTTTGGGTGTTGGACTTGTTGAAATATACATTATTAATGAAGTTCTGCTCTTTCCAGGGGGGAAAATAAATAAATAAATAAATTGATTAACAGAAGCAATCTCATCTGTCCTCATTTTCAGGCCCAGCAAATAGTTAGCACGGTTCCCAGTAAGGGAAGGCAAAGTGCTGTGGTAAACTCCGTTCAAGCCAAACTAAACTGTTCCCAAGTTCTGTTTCTAAGCCAGCTCTGCCTTGGGAAGCTTCTGTAGCCAGTTTTTCCAGGAGAATGCTGTGGGAAACAGTGTCAAAGGCTTTACAGAAGTCCAGGTAAGTGACATACACAGCCCTTTCCTCATCCACTAAGTGGGTCACCTGGTCATAGGAGATCCGGTTGGTCCAGCAGGATCTGCCTTTCATGAAGCCATGCTGGCTGGGCCTGATCCCCTGGCTGTCCTGCATGTGCTGCATGGTGGCACTCAAGATGATGTGTTCTGTAACCTTCCTCAGCACTGGGAGCAGGCTGAGGATCCTCCTTTTGGCCCTTCTTGTGGCCCCTAGATGGGGATCACATTTGCCGGTCTCCAGTCTACTGGGACCTCCTGGTTAGCCAGGACTGCTGCTAAATGATGGAAGCAGCTTGGTGAGCACTTCTGCCATGTCCCTCAATGACTCATTGCTATCAGTCAAGTGCAAATGCATCATGGCAAGTTGTTAAATATACATGATTCATTTAATAGGCCTCTAATATTAATTGACTAATAGGTATTTAATGGCAACAAATGAGCCTGATTCCAGTTGCATTTCTTCTTCAGAGCCCACAGGACACTGAAGCACCCATTGAATTTAACAGGATCAATTTACAGCCAGAGCCTGCTCTCATCTCCTGGTTTGGATGCAAACCTAGTTCAAAGTGGCTGGAAGCTGTGGGATAAAATCTGGGCAGCAGCATTTCACCAGCTTGCCTGAGAAATCCTGCAGGCATCTGTCAAACGGCGGAGAAGTTCTGCGACCCTCCGGGGCTGCTGGGGTGGACAGTGGCTGCAGGAGGTTCTTTCCCAGAGAAAAGGTTTGTGCTGACAACGCTTCTTGACAGGCCAGCTGGCTGCAGTAAGTGTGTTCCTGGGTGGTTGTTGGAAAGAGGGCTCCCAGGGCTGGGGTGAATTTTCCCCTGCCAAGTCACTAGAGACATGTAGCTGGGGTCAGGAAACTGTGCGGGTGGCCAAGGGTCCCTCTGCCCTCCCACCCCTCTGGCACTGCTGCCTGGGGCTCCTGTGGGATGCTGGAACCAGCAGAACCTCTTCTGCTCCCCAGGGTTCCTCGTGCACCCTTGGAGCAAGGGTGCTTCCACCCCTACCTCTCTAGTGTGACCCTACCCCAAAAATGTCTCTTCCTTCTGCACCTAAATCTGATCTGGAACGTTAAGCAAATGCAAATGTCCAATTTACTACTTGTGTTAATTTGTTCTTTCAGCACAGCTGCCTGTGAGAGACCTTGTGTTCCCCAAAGCCCTTTCAGCCACCCTGGGGGACAGAAGGGGCAGTGAGTGGGTCTAGGGGTGTTTCCCAAGCCAAGGCTGTGGGGCAGCTCCACGAGCTGCTGCCTGGTGGAACAGACCTTTCACCAGCACAATCTGGTTTGGAAAATAATTCCCTCTGCCTCTCAGTGGGATAGGGGAAAAAGTCCTGGCTGCCCACATGTGGGAAGGTCTGTGATGAGTGTCAGCTCTGGCTGACTGAAGCTTCCTGTGGGAAAACAGAACTTGCATTGTGCTTTGTTTTAAATTTCTTGGAAGGCAAGACAAGCAGTGCCTTGGACCAAACAAGTAGGGTCACTTATATCTGTTAGGGAGGACAGGTCCAACTTGCTGGGATGGGATCCATCCTGTCCTTGTCTGCTTGTTGTCACACCCAGGTGCCACACGGCTCCATGTCTGAACTGTTATGGCCCATTGAGTGACATCAAGGCTCCATAATCATAAGACTGTGCAATAAAGGCCTCGATATTTGCATGTGAAACAAGCCCTGGGCACTAACAGTGCTTGAATTTACATATGAAGCAGGTACTGGGCATCTCCCTTGCCTTTTTCCTGATTATTTCTATAATTGGTCTGTTAAGAACCAATCAATACACTAGTTATGACCTAAGTCCCTTGTTAATAGGTGATAAATTAGTCTTTGAATGCCTTGTCTGGGGCCAGAAGAGCATCTGCCCTGGAAGGGCTGACCAGCCTGATCCTCTCTTCTTCCCCCGGGGCAGGGATGTCTCCTTAGGTAAGAAATCACAACTTTCACCTTTTGGGAAGGGATGGAAGCATCTCTGGGTGTATTGTGTACTTGGTATTATTATTGCTGCAATATGAACATTTATTAGTAGCACTGTTGTAGCCAGGCCAGTTATCAACAGCCGTGTCAAACTCGTTACATCTGCCGCCTTAACAGATCACCTGACGTTTGCATCTAACTACTTTGTGTTTGCCACTTTGATGGGTTCTCAGGGCAGGCCTCCCACTCCTGACTCCCGGCACAGCCAGACGTGCTTAGGTGGTCCTACACACAAACACACAGGGTCCTTTAGTCTTAACCCACCGGCTGAGACCTGGGAGGTGAGGCTGGTACCCCCGGCGCCCCGGTGTGCCCGGGCTGCTGGGTACCACTGCAGTCTGAGCTCCGGCGGCTTCAACCGGCAGCGTCTGCCTCTGCCACACATCCCTGTCACACACGGCTTTCTGTCTTCCTCTGACAGTTCCTTATCACCCCTGCTGGGTCCTGGTCAGATGAGCCCAGGACTTTCCGGGTGTCCTGAGCAGAGCTCGCTGCAAGACCCCCGGGTTGGCCCCGCAGGAGCGTTTCAGGTGAGATCCTTCCTGAGGCCCGGCTGGGGGGCAGGGGCTGCGGGCAGGGCGGTCGGGCTTTCCCTGCCCGGGCTGCTGGAAGGGGAAGTGCCCGTGCCCCCTCCTCCC